ATTATATGAAAAAAAACGAGATCTTGCCAGGCTTTTTTGTGTCCAATTAACAAGAAAAAAATGGAACGGGAAGGCTGGGTGGGGGCCAGGGGTGTTACTTCTTAAAAAAACAAAAGAAACCTTTGGAACACCAGAATATGTCGCCACAAGCTTTTAATTAAACCAGATTGTGTATCACAACACACCGTGCCTCACACTCACACTCACCGTAGCTTGTTGTTTTATTTCTATTTCAAGTTTCAAACAATGATCATGATAAAAGATAGGCCTACTCACTGGCCTAGGTGGGCTTTCACCCAGAACAAACAAGAAAGGGCAGGAATTTTTTAACACCTTGTCAACCTACTGTTTGCCTTAGTCTAATGTTTCTCTAAGGGTCAAAGTGGCACTCAAAGACTACAACTACAAGGGCTGGTGCAAAGAGGATGGTAAAGTTAGATGGCTGCACGTGACATAATGACATAAACTGTCCGGGTCTGGCAGTTTTTCTCCCCATATTCTGTTCAGTTTTATTAGACGTTTTTAAAATAGTTTTAGTAGAGGTTTTTCGGCGCTAGCAACACAATAAGGTCATATGAGCGCCAGAAGATTAGAGGTGTTACAAGAGAGTAACAAACATAAAAAAGAAGAAGGGGAAATAAGGACGATAGACGTTAGGTAGGAAAGAAGAAGCTAACCATACCAGAGCACCCGCTAACCACCCATTCCCTTTATTCACAGGGCAGCGGTTTTGTGGTAGCCTTAACTCTTCTCCGAAGCGGAAAGTCCGCGTTCGAGCCTAGGTTCTGACACGGATTTTTTTTCACCCCCTCCTGCCCACACAGCAGTAATGGGTACCTGACATCGAGTCGGGGAAGTAAAGGCGGCGTGGAAAGGAACTGGCCACCCTATCACCCTACCACAATATGCCGAAGGCCCAGGAAGTTGTCTCACTAACAAGGCATCATTCCCCAATGTCCGGATCGGACGCGGGAACAACTTTATCCGTCTATACCTTTTCACCTGACCAGCCAGCCTCGAGAGCCTACAACACCAAGCACTCGAGCCATAAAGGAAGAGGAATGCCACGCAAAAGGCGGATCCAGGGTGTCAAGGAAACCGTAAGAAAACATAACATCACAACTGAAAGAGCTGCGGAGCTGGCCTACCATAGAAAACAGCATCTCCCCTAGACGCTTAACGGCAACAGAGGATGAAAAAGTAAAAGTAAGTACCTTGAACAGGAAAAACTGGCAGTCCGTGTTGGTAGCTGGGTCTCTCTGGATCGCCGAGTGCAGCTGGTAGGCAGGGCTACCCCAGTGGTTCTTCTGACACAGTTCTTCCAGAATCTGAGGAGAGGGGGCGGAAGACAAGTCAGAAAAAATGTGGGTTCAAAAAAAAATTAAACATAACTGTTTCTATGATGCCTCCATCAAGACAGTTTGGATCATTTAGGAGGCAGGCTTCCACCCCGCCTGTCAGGGCCAATCAAGGTTGAAAGGGATACAAAATCCCAGCAGAAAAACCGAGATAACCGAGATATTTATCCCCACTCAGGATTCTAACTAATGTCTCGTGCATGCAGCAGCAAAGTGTCTAACTGCTGCACCACAGACATCGGTTAAAAAAAAGAAAAAACAAAAAAGAGGAACAAATCAATCCACAGACAACATT